AGAAAATAACTTATTGTCAAGATGAAAAACAATTGAAAGTTCATTTTTCCTGACAATTATCATGGGATAAAAAAAACCAGATTGGAGTGGAACATTCATTGTTTCTTGAGGAACTTAACAATACACTTGACAACCAAAAAGAATATGACGCGTTTATTAAACGATATACAAAATTTTGTACAAGCACTGCACAAAAAATGCGAATAAGGTGATTTAGCAAATTTATATTGAAACATTTTATGCAAGCGTTTTAATATTGTTTTATTAATTTATTATTTAATAACCTTTTTCATCACTACAGAGCAGGTGGAACTTTGTATGATTATGCATATCAGAACCTATTAGGGATTTAACGGCTTCTCCTTAAGTTATAGAATAGATTTCTATGCGAACCACTATCCGCATGTATTATTCTATTCGCGTCAAAACAAACGTTCTTGGAGAATAAATTTACAATGACAATCCCACGAATTTTGATGCTTTTTTGTTATCAAATATTTCCGAATATGATCAGATTACAAGCAAGGAGATCGAAAATGAAAATGAAACTTATGAACTATGGAGGAATAATGTTGATCAGTTCAAAGTTACGATCCTATGATCATAGAGTTTTATTACACCATTATCGATTTTTAATTGACAGAAATTTGAAAGTGACGTCTAACAATAATACAAACTGCGAATATAATTACTGTAAATTTGAGATATTATGTGCAAGATTATATATAAGAACTAATTGATTGTTAGCGTTAGTTTGTTTAAAATAATGTTACTTTATATTGTGTCACAGATGATGCTAAAATCTAGGGTCTTTATTAGAATACATAAACCCTAGATTCCACTAACGTTAATCTTAAATGTTAAAAATGCACCCCAAAAAACTTCAATATTACAGTAAATGTAGATCTCAAATTTCGGCATCATCTGTGATAATAAATCTTTTTCGATCAATATGGAATCATCACAAACAAGCAATGAATATGGAATATGTCAAGAGTGTAATAATCCAAATACTTCTCATTATTGGTGTCAATATTGTAATTCGGAAAGATTTCGAAAAGCCTTTAATACATGGACTAGTGGAAACAAATATATTGATAAATTTATTCAGAATGCCCAAACTAGTGCTAAAAGGTATACGGACGTATTGGAATGGATACCTTACGATCGTTTAATAGGAATTAAATATCTTGCAGAAGGTGGGTTTAGTGTTATATATACTGCCATATGGTTAGATGGTTATATTCTTGGATGGGATTATGAAGAAAAACAGTGGGTTCGATGTACTACAAATGTAAAAATAAATTTTGAAAATGATGTCAATATTAATAAATTATATGATAGTGAAACAATTAATATTCAACAAAATTCTCTGAAGGAAATTGAAGGATGGGAAGTTGTTATTAAGAATTTAAATGATTCATCAAACATTGCTGAAGATTTTTTTGACGAGGTGAATATTTATATCTTTTTGTTCTACTTGTAATTAACATTATCATATTAATTTAAATTTGTGTAATGACTATTGACTGTCAAATTTCATTAATTTCATTAAATTATTATAGTGGAATAGGCACTTCTCTTTTCAAAAATCTTGTGGTCAAGGAACATCGCTAACAGCAATTTTGTATGGAATTACACAAAATCCAGAAACATTAGATTATTATTGTTATGATGTATTTAGAACAAGGAAGTTTAATGCATCAATTAACAGAATTGGCAAATAAGACATGGTCTATGAAATCAGAACTTTTATATCACATCTCATCGGGACTTTCAATTATTCACGATTTGAATTTGGTTCATCGTGATTTACATAGTGGTAATATATTATCAGGGGGTATATCAACTTTTATTGTTGATTTAGGATTATCTTGACCAACTTTTCAACCTACCTATAATAAAAATAATATTTATGGTGTCTTGCCTTATATTGCACCAGAAATTCTTAATGGCGAACCTTATTCACAAGCATCAGATGTGTACAGTTTAGGTGTAATTATGTCTGAACTCTCCACCGGACACCCCGCTTATTATGATCGTGAACATGGTTTAGATCTAGCATGTTCTATATGCAAAGGTCACAGGCCAGAATTTGCAAATGGAACGCCACAAAAATACATTGATTTAGCAAATCAATGTATGAATGCTGATGCTTCTAAACGGCCAACTGCAATCCAATTAAAAGAAATATTTAATGTTTGGAGATCATCTGATGAACTTAATTATTCCTCTACAGAATTGAATTCTTCAACACCTATTCATCCAAAAGCTATCTATACTAGTAGACATCACAAATATACAAATCTTCCTGATCCTGTAAATTCAATTAAAATTCCACATTTCGATATGGAAAAATATAGTGGTATGCAATATATTCAAAATATGTTTTATGATCAATACTCATCTCGGCCACAAATTATATTATTTTAATTAAATTAATGTAATCATATATACTGGCTTATTTCTTATTTATTTATTTATTTATTAGTATCACAAGAAATTAACTTTGACATTTCAGAAACGGATTTTTTATAATCCAAAACATTACTACATAGCGATATTACACTCTGTACTTGCCGCTCGAACTA